TGGTACGATGTCGAGACAGGGCGATCAAAGAAGACAAAATACGCGAGAGAGCACGTCGTTTGAGAGAGCACGCTGATCTCTACATCAATGCACGCTGATCTCACCACCTCTCGCGGTGGGTGGGAAGCGTTGGAAGGGTATCCTTCCTACTAGTCGGGCTAATTCCGGGGTTTGCCTGTAAAGGAAGTCCACTTTAAGGAAAAGCTCTGTTTGAAAGCGGTGTTCGCTAGCGAATTGCTCGATTCGCAACTCTAACATCGGCCGATAGGGTGAGGTACAAGATTACCCTTGGCTGAGATACAGGTCTCTCTCTACTCGCTCTCTTGGAGGCTCGCCATCCCTTTGCCTGCCTCCACCTTATTTCATATACAATTTATCGTAAAATCCTCCGTTCTGTACACCTTGACTAAAAAACTTGTTAATAAATATGAAAGTACGCGCAGGTTATGGCCACCATAAATAAAAAATTTCCTGATGCCCTATGGTGAGAAATTTGGAATCTGTGCAAGAATTTTCCGCTTGAGCTGCGGCAGTGCATTAGTTCCGCACTATCGTCAATGTGTTAAGATCTTCTTCAAGTGTATGCACAAACCGCAAAGATTTAACGGCGTTAGCACAACAATTGTTTCTGTTAGCGGGTGTCCCCAGAAGGAGTAATGAATGCATGTTGGGGGCACCTGGGATACATAGGAGCATGGGTACCTCGAGAGCACATGGAAGCAATCAGCACCGTCAGCAATCCCTTAGAAACATTACATTGAACTTGTGGAATGTTTTAAGAGACTTTCGATTGCTGCGATCTGGGCGAGTTGTGGGGACCTTCTTACCGTCCAAGTAGACGCTAAAGGTAGCAAGCTATGCATATCAAAAAAAAATAGTATACCCTCTCACATCGGCGTCGTTTCTGAACCTTGGCCTCACTGGGAAGGTGGGAATGTAACTTGCGACCTGATTATGGTTTCTTTCCTGTGCTTACCATAGGCACATTGATGGTAAGTAAAGACATCTATACTTCGCAGAATCATTCAAAGCGAGTGTAAGGAATGCTCTAATTGCAGCAACCATATATGTGTTTAATCCAGTCTCAAGCTTATGTTTGTGCAGCAGAAAGGTAGGTTATTAGATTCCTCTGTTTGCTGAGGATTGGCGAGTTTGTGTGTTGAGCCGTTTGGTTTTCGGAGTAACGCCGGCGTACGACTTCACCTGCCTTTCCATTCTGAAAGATTCAATCTAAATCTTTTCAGCTGTCTAACTCTATTTCTAGGATTTTCCAGTAAAGGCTCTTATCCGCTGCAATAGAGTTAAGTCGCAGGCCAAAACACTTCCAATATAGAAGGCTTGCAAAAGCCTCGCAACTTTGTGCAAGCTACATATTATTTGAATCGCTTCTTTACAAGAATGGCGAATGGATGAGTTTCGCCGCTTCTTATACCGCTGTAATTCGATAAATCCTGCACTTTCCCACCACCCTCATGTCAAACAGGGTAGAAATGCCGTTACCCATAATTCTGAGAATTTAGGAGGAAGCACTTAATAATTTATTGGTCTTTAATGTTTCACAAGAATGCTGGGTTGTGAACAAAACTTTCGCCCCAGGCGGGACTAGAACCCGCACCTCTCGCTTTCCGGGCAAGTGC